TTTCTGCACGCATCGCCAAGCGGCCCGTTGTAGAAATTAATTTGTTAGGATGTCGCGTACGACCCCCAGTCCGGATGTTTGCTCGGGGTTCCTTCAATGGTCCCAAGTGTTCCTTTATAGGTGCTTTTCCTCGATTCTCGGGTAAGGTACCGACACGATCCTTCAATGGGATTCTAGATTTGGAGAGACCCACACTGTCATAGGGTTTCATCGGAAATGTGGGAGCAGGGTCTGGAGTTGACGAAGGCTGGAGAGCAACGTCGCCTGCTTTTGCCTTAGACGCTGATTTGGCTTTTGGCACCCAAACTTGTTTGGACCTCGGCGATCTCTTAACTGCCTCTTCCTTTTACATTTCCTATGCTTTTCGCACAAGGGTCCGGGCATGCGCAAGCAAGGTGCGGCGCTTCTGGATCCGCTCTTTGATAGTAGAGCGGGTTCTTTTAACACGAACCCATTCGATAATTGGAGATCGAGAGGAGGATTCTGATGCTTGTCGTGGCAACAGATTAGCCACTTGGTGCTTTCTGAACTCCAGATCTGCTTGGTAATGGAGTCCATCCACCTGATCCAAAGCCTTGGCGAATTGGCGCGCGAGGCGTTGGCGTTTCCTTTGACGTGCTCTCTTTGATAGAGTTAGTGCGCCTTCAGCAATCGACTCCTTGATCGTGAAGGAGTTCAGATCTGCAGATCTGGTCTCATTGGATGTCGGCGGACCGTTGCGAGGTACGACTGTAGCATCGGCTACGGAGAGATCGATTTCTTGGGTCTTCAGATCTGGAGACCGACGGATCTTCTGAGAGGAGGAGGCCTTCCTGCACCTGCAAGGAGAGGCAGATCTGGAGGAGGAGGAGGAGGAGACATACTCCTCGAACTTCTGCTGGTTGAACTCGTATTCGACCTCTTCATCCACGGGGATCTTGATCGTTGGCTGCGGCACGACAACCTCAGCAGCGAGGCTGTTGGCTCCCACTGTGGTCGCCAGTTTGTTTGCGGTGAAAGTTGATGTTTTTATTGTTATCGAATCTATTACAACTTTGGTCGTTACAATAAACTCGAATGAAATAAAAAGTTGATCTTTTTATAAGATCTCCTTACACAATGAAAATAAAAAGTTTACAACTTTATCAAACAAACGCAGAGATCGTTTATCGGTCTTCTGCTTGCGTAGGATCTTTGCCTGTGCCGGGGTTTATCCGTGGACCACCGTCGATCAGATCTGATTGTTGAAAAATTGGCCAGAGCTTCGTCTATCCGCGAAGGGATCAAGAAACCGTAGCTCTTATCTCGGCGAAGCGAGATAATCACTCTTCTTAAGATTACCGCAACGGGATAATCCTAAGGAACGAATCGGGCTGCAGATCTAACTCCTCCTCCTCTCTGAAATCTGTGCACTTTAAGTCTTCAATCCGGCAGGGCTGAAAAAATGAGGCTCCGGGGTCCGTATTTATAGGCACGGGACGAATCTGAGTTGGAGACACCCTCTGGTGTCTCAACCAGCGCCGAGACACTCCGGGTGTCCCAGTTTAGCCTGAGACCCTCGTTTATGCCTGTTTGATTGTTTCAGTCGTAAATTCTTCGTCCGAACTCGGATTTAAGTGATTCAAAGTGCGTTGGAAAGCCGACGGGAAGTTCTATAAGCTCCAATGATTAAATCATCCGCGGAATAAATGAGACATGAAGGGTGTTTCGCCGTTTGTGAACGGTACGAGGTTCCCGATCGGTTCATATCTTCATCATTCCGAAGTTCCGTTGTTTCACGTAGTTCGTCGGTTTACTTTAAGCGTTCACCGACATCAATCAAGCTTCTGTGAACCAGATGGTGATGTTCATCGTCATTTCTTAACACTGAGCCGTTTGTGGAGACCTATAGGCAATTTTCGATGCCTACAACCATAAGATAGATTTACTTAGCTGCCTTGAAATTAGAAGACCAGATCTCATCTGAGGTGGTTGAGGATCAAACAATGGATCAGATCTAGACAAGATTTCCATCATTTGCATTTTCTTTTTGGCTCCTTTTAGCCTCGTGCTTTCCATCACAGATCAGCTCGAAGAAGCTTCCATCATATCAGAATTCACTCCCTCATTAGGAAGAGAAGGGAAAACGAAGATTGAATATCTTAGATCACTATCAGAGCTCTTCTTCTTCCTCCTCATTTGAATTTAGGCGGAGGTGCACGTTAGCAAGGAGAAAATCGCATGCTAAAATGCACCTACAGACCGCCCCCCTGTGTCTTCTTTTTTTTAGGGCGTTTTCGAAAGAATTGTTTTGACATAGCAATACACTTTTATGATAATTTATAATAGTATGAGATATTAGATAAAGAAAAACAACATGAAAGGAAATTAAAGAGTAACAAATCAAAACGTAACATGTCCCACGCATCGCCTCCATGTTGCCACTAGCAACTCTGGGATCATTTCAAAGAAGACCGAATTGACAATCATAGGATAAGGCCAACCTAACCATAGCATACGCAATGAAGCTTGCATCACATTAAACTTGCGCAAGTCTAAAAGTCCAGGAACACGCAAGCAGTTCATCAACACTAGCATCTCAACAATCTCTGTCCTTTTCCTTGTTGATAAACTTAATAGCCTTAAGAGAATCAGTTTAAAAGTTGCATGCTTACAGCCATTATTCCATGCAATGTTCCAACCTCTCCAAATTGCACGTACCTCACTTTCTGAGGCAAAAACAAAGTTATCCTTGCTGTGCAAATCCCTGAATGTACCCTAGAGGAGGGGGGTGAATAGGGTAATTGCTTAAGTGGTTGTGTGTGTAAGCAATGAGTAAAAATAAAATCAACTCAATTAATTCTAGCTTATATAAAAAAAATCAAAATATATATTAGCTAGAAGAAAAGAGTTTAGAAAACTTCTCCAAAAATAAGAGATGTAGATATTTGAGGATGCGAGCCTCAAAACTGAAATTGAGATTCTTCTCTTGTAAAACTCTTTTCACATAAACAACACACTTAAACTTTCAAAAACTTAGAAACAAACTGCCCAAAAACTTCTTCAAAAGCTCTTATAAAAAACTAAGGCTTGAGGACTATTCATAGCCTCAAAAACAAAGCATATCAGAAACTAGCGGTTTCTGTAAAATAGCTGTTGATCAATCGACTGAAAAATATGATCGATTGACTGATCGATTGTAAAACAGAAAGCTGTAAAAACTGCTACTGTTAAGTCGATGGAAAAGCATAATCGGTCTACTGAAAACACTGTTCTCGATCGACTGATTCAAGTAATCAGTCGACTGATAGACTGTAAAAAGAAGTGCTATAAAAACTCGTTCTGATCGGTCGACTGGATAGATTTTTCGGTCGACCGAAGACTAACATATCAATTACTTGATTTTTCTTGAAAAGTTGATTTTCTAAATTCAAATTAAAATAGCAAATCAACTCCAAAAATAGTAAAACTTGGGAAAACGTTTATATATATGAAAATAAACATGTTAGAGAAGAAATTTATAAAATAGCACTTCACATTTATGAAAACTCACTGTTTTGTAAAACAGTCACAAATACGAGTTTGTTAAATACTTGATTTTGATGAAATTTCTTCAAACAAGTTTTGAGATACCTTCAAATGGATTCATAGACTTTTGAAAAGATGTAAAACAGTATCATTAAGTCAATAATCCGCAACACGTTGTTTTCCCAAAAAGACGATAAATAAGAAACTAGTGTGTATGTATATATCTATTAGTTTCATATTTATATGGCTAAACTTGAAAGGGATAAAATGAAACGTGTATGTGTGTGGTTTGAGCTTTAGGCATACCACATAAAGTAAACACCTAAACTACAAACAATATACCCAAGCAAATAATCTTCATTAAGCTCGATCTTGGTAGCAGATGAAGCATGATTGTCAATCTTGACTTGAATGCGCAAAGCTTCATTCCGATTTTTACCAACCTCCAAGATATCGACGTTAAGGCGCAAATCATTCCAACCTCCGACCTGGATGCATGTTGGAAGAAAAAAACAATACTAGAAAATAAGATTAGGAATTGTTTGTTAATCATTAAAACCAGATTAAACAATAGGCTTATAAACATGAGACCTAACAATCCCAACGGCCATTTTCAACCATAATCATATAACATCGCTGCCACCTCGACATGACTAGTAGACATTTGTGTTATGATAGATACTTTTATTGTTATATATCTAAAAAATATGGCTTGATTGTACTTAAAAGCCTTATAATTTTGCTGACCTTACACTTAAATGTCCTATGTTTAAAACCGAACAAAAAAAAACCTAAAACCGAACAAAAAAAAACTTTAAAATTTGAAGTGTTGCAGATGAATGCCCCCATAGTTAAAAAACTCATAGAGCATTATAATTTTCTCTACGTCATATAACAGAGAGTACCAAAGTGAAACTCTTAGAAACGTTAGGGTATTTAAGTGAGGCCATTTAAAATTTTAGGACATTTACATGCAACATTGGGTAAATAAGAAGGCACAAACGTGCAATATTTTAAAGTTATAGAGCATTTGTCTGTAATATTTAAATACTTTGAACTATTTTTTATCAATTTGAAAGACGGGATTATTTAAGTGCAATGTCGGGAAACTATAGGTCATTTAACAAAAAAAAAATCTTATATTTGCTAACGTATTAAAATAATTTATGAGTATCATGGTACTTTAGAATCATAAGAGATATGTCACATTTCTATGGGTAAAACAGACCTTTCCCCTTTATTAAGAACATTATAAATTGTCATCAAATGCAAATGGGCCCAAAGTGATGCAGAAAAAAAACCTAGAGGAGAATAATTTGTAGTGTGAGAAATCATTTGGAGCCACGACTGAATGACGTGACAACCTAAGCTTTTCAGAACGTTAATAATTGCTCTTATAACCTCACTCTCATTTGTCATATTACACACACGATCCCTCACCCCAGGTGCACTATTGAATTGTAATAATTCGAGCAACAATATCAAAATTACTCTTTGTAAATTGCAAAACTTCCGTCTATTTTAATGTCACCTCCGGCAATTGTGCGCCCTCTCTTTTTCCCCCTTCTCTTCGTCGTCCGCATCACCAATTTCTGTTCTCTTGGTTCGAATCCACAGAGGTCAGTTCTAAAATCCTCTCAAATTTTCATCCTAAATCCTTAGGAGTTTAGTTTTTTTGATGTTTTATCAGTAAATCGATCCGCGAACAAGATTCGACCTCAAAAAGAATTATTTCTAGGGTTCGAAAATCCGTCAAATTTGTTTATTTTGCCTAAATTTTTGGACTCAGGGATCTAGATTAGAGTTTATCTATAGTGATTTGAAGCATTAACTTATTTTTTCACGAAATTCTTAAAAATTTTATTTTTTTGGGGTTTGCAGTAGAAATGGAAGGATTTAACAGAGGAGGAGCTAGTGAAGTGTTCTTGCCAAATTACAAGCTTGGGAAGACGCTGGGTATTGGGTCATTTGGAAAGGTGAAGATTGCTGAGCATGTTTTGACTGGGCATAAGGTCGCCATCAAGATTCTTAATCGGCGCAAGATTAAGAATATGGAGATGGAGGAGAAAGGTATATTTTGAACATGGGATGGTTAATCTTCAAAAATAGTTTTTAGATATTTGTTTCATTATAAATTTCCTTAGTTTCCCAGGAGAAAATGGTACTGATGAGTGTTCATTTTGAGCGGGTATTTACCAAATCATAATGTTACCACAACATGCGTGCAACAATACTAGTGCTAACTCCCGTGGGTAACAACTAGTTGCAACCTGAATATTATGCTGTGGTTAAGCAACTTTTGGACACATTGTTTGTAAGTAGACGGTTTCCGGCGATATGGGTGATTTACTTGCAGCTTTAGCATGCAGAGAAAAGCCTTTTATGCTTGTTTATCATAAGGGATTATCTTGACTTGTAGAATCTTTTAGTGGATGTGATGTCACTTAGCAGTTTTTGGGGAATCTAGCAATATGATACTTCTCCTAGAACATTTGATATGCCGCCACAAGTTGCATGAGCTTGGTTTTGTGTAACGAGTTACAGATCAATGAAAATTTGAGATACTTCCTTAGTTAAATGAAAATACTTCTGAATGGCAAGATTGAGCAATGTGTGAGTGAGTCAAGTATCCATCACAAAATAAATTATGGCACTTGGGTGAGATTGGCCTGGAGAATAATGACATCAAAATAGTGGATGTAGACCTTCTATATCACCGCACAGTTGAGACAAAATTCTGGAAATTGATGTGGATGAGATCAAAGCAACAACGTAAGAATTTCTGTTAGTTTAAAAACAGTGCTAACTTCTAACTATATAGCAAATACTGCATAGCTTTTACTAGAATTAGTCTCATGTGTTGGGTGGAAGCTCTTATATGGGTTCTTTAACACTCAGTTAAGATAGTAGACTTTCCCCCACCTTTTTGACATATTAGTAAAATAGACAAATAATGACAGTGGCCTGGGGCCCTGGAAAATAGTGATACAAAAAAACTGGATGTAGAACTTCTATTGCACAACTAATCTTTTACAACTATTATGCTAAGATATTTTCGGAAAACTTAGAAAAGCATGAAAAATGCAATTGATTTATACATATTCATTAGGCGGAACTCCATTCGATGAGATCAACTAGACTGAGGAGGTTAATGATCTTGGTGGCCTCGTGCCATGAACAATTACAATACTGCTGTTTGATTGCATAGTTTAATTGAAGTACTATCTGGCCATTTATGAAACCCAAGGGCCCAAGTGGCTATTAAGATTTCGCTATAGCCTTATCACTTACAATTTCATGGCTGTGTTAACAGGGAACTGTAACAGGTTACTGGCATTGGCAGGTCTCAAACTGCTTGCCGGCCTTGGCAAAGTTCTTTGCAGATATTTCTTGACTTTTAGGTTGTGTTTTCAGCTGACAGAGACCGAGATATCTTCTGATAGTGACTATGAAAACATTTTTATCAAAATGCTGTTTGCTTGAGCTTTGCTGCTTCCTCCAGCTTAGCTTATGGCTCTCTTCGTGTTTTGCTGTGTTCTTACTGGTTGCCTTGGTCATTACACTATTGTAAAAATTGATAGATATGGTATGGTAGCGACGATGAAAAAAGTTTTATCAAAGATTCAAAATGCTCTTTACTTGAGCTTTGTTGCTCTCTCCAGCTTAGCTTATTGTTCTCTTCTTGTTTTACTGTATTCTCACTGGTTGACTTGGTTTGTACGCTACTGTGAAAATTGATGCATATGGTATGATATTTTCTGATATACATTTTTTTGCATTGCAGTAAGACGTGAGATCAAAATATTGAGATTATTCATGCATCCACACATCATTCGACTGTATGAAGTCATAGAGACACAAACAGACATCTATGTGGTGATGGAGTACGTTAAATCAGGCGAGCTATTTGACTACATTGTGGAGAAGGGAAGATTACAAGAGGATGAAGCTCGGCGATTTTTTCAACAGGCAAGTGGTTATTCTTAGTAATATTTGTGTAGATTTTTTCCTGATATAGTTTGGGTCTAGTTTATAAATGATATAGAAAGAATCACTTTTCTACTTGGGCCAGAGGCCTGCATGTGTCCTTTAGGGTTCTATTTTGTTTTATTGTTTTGCTAGGACATTTGGTAACTTGAAATGGTAATAGAATATGTTTTGATACTTCTATGTCTTAGAAATTCGTTCTCGTTTTGGACAACAAAGCAGCATGTCTCTGAATCTGGTTCCATATTTCTTGTATCCTTATGAATCAAATCACTCAAAAGTCCAGATTTTCGTTGGAGAATGTTGTACTCAAGTAAAAGAATATATAACCTAGATTATGTTAGTCCTATTCACAAAAACTGTAATAGATTATATTTCTGTTGAAGTGAATTCAGATATCAACTCACTGTTCGGTAAAATTGTGTAAACTTCTTAGAGAAATCTATATGCTCTGCTGGAAACAGATCATATCTGGTGTTGAGTACTGCCACAGAAACATGGTAGTTCATCGAGATTTGAAGCCGGAGAATTTGCTGTTGGATTCGAAATGTAATGTTAAAATTGCAGATTTTGGCTTGAGCAACATCATGCGAGATGGCCATTTTCTGAAGACTAGCTGTGGAAGTCCCAACTATGCTGCTCCGGAGGTAGGATTATACCAAAAGACCATGCACCTTGTTATATTTACAAGTATATGATGGATGCTTAATGCAGCTTTTACAGTGTAGGTTATCTCAGGTAAACTATATGCTGGTCCAGAGGTTGATGTATGGAGTTGTGGTGTCATTCTTTATGCTCTTCTCTGTGGCACACTTCCCTTTGATGATGAAAACATCCCTAATCTGTTTAAGAAAATAAAGGCAAGAAAATATCCTGTTCTTACGTCAACTTTTTTTGTTGATATAGGTAAAAGTACACCTCTGAATTTTGGGCTATTTGGTTGTGCAGGGTGGGATATATACTCTTCCAAGCCATTTATCTGCTCTAGCAAGGGATTTGATACCTAGGATGCTTGCAGGGTGGGATATATACTCTTCCAAGCCATTTATCTGCTCTAGCAAGGGATTTGATACCTAGGATGCTTGTTGTTGACCCTATGAAGCGAATGACTACATTTATCTGCTCTAGCAAGGGATTTGATACCTAGGATGCTTGTTGTTGACCCTATGAAGCGAATGACTATTCGTGAAATCCGTGAACATCCATGGTTTCAAGCTCGTCTTCCTCGCTATCTGGCTGTGCCACCACCAGATACAATGCAGCAAGCGAAGAAGGTAAGTTGTTCTCAAGCTGCTGGCCCGGGTGATATTTTGTTGTTTATATTACATAGTTTCTGGCAAATGTTAGCATTGATCTTCATTAGGGTAAACCACACATTGGTATTAGAAAACTGATCATGGAGAAACTTTTACATATATGAAATTTGTTGTGTAGGCAGCACATAGCTCTAACATCACTTCTTTTCAATATTACTTTCAGCACCTGTGCTTTCATTTTCTGTTCATGACCAGCAGAATAGAAAATTGATATCATTAAGTTACACATTTAAATGCTCTTCACTTAACTTAAGTGATTGAGATTATCAAATCAGATATGTTCAAATCCCTTGCAATATGATTTCTTTTTTACTTCTGTAGTGCTATGCTGCTAAATTGTCATGTGCCTGACTTTATGGTCCTGGCGCTTTGCTGTCTTCTTTGCAGATTGATGAGGAAATTCTTCAGGAGGTAGTTAAAATGGGTTTTGAGAAAAACCAGTTAGTTGAATCACTTCACAATAGAAGTCAAAATGAGGTATTCCTGAAATCCCATGAAGTAAAACTATCATAGCCAATTCTTTTGGTAACCATATCTTATTTTCTTCTGGTCTATATAGGGCACTGTTGCATACTACTTGCTTTTGGACAATAGATTTCGCGCAACTACTGGCTATCTTGGGGCAGAGTATCAGGAAACCATGGTACATTCTTAGTCTGTAGTTTGTACTACATTTTCTTTGCTCATAAGATAAATGGAGATTTTTATGTATCTGTTTAGGAATCTGGTTTATCTCGGATGAGTTCAACAGATGCTCCAACGGCAGCAATCAAACATCGTAAGCCAGGATATATGGACCATCAGGTAATGGGGATGGGACTGCAGCCAGGGGAAAGGAAATGGGCACTTGGACTTCAGGTATTCTGTCTTTCATTGTTATGTATCCTAGTTTCTGTTTCATTTCTCTGATATATAATAAAAGTACTGTATCTTTCATGAATTTGCAGTCACGGGCTCATCCTCGAGAAATTATGACAGAGGTCCTTAAAGCCCTTCAAGAGTTGAATGTCTGTTGGAAAAAGACCGGACATTACAACATGAAATGTAGATGGTTTCCTGGGTATAATGGCAATTCTGAGGACATGATTAATAATCCCATGAATGCTAAACATGGGTTTGGAGATGAATCTGCCATTGTAGAAAGTGATGATGCAGTTGGAAAATCATCTAATGTAGTCAAGTTTGAAATTCAGGTGAGTTTTTGCCTTCTATTTAGTCATCAAGAAATACTCATCTGTGATATTGTATATTTCTTTTGACAGTATCATGTATTAGATCATACCTTAAATCATGAGCTTGTAGCTGTTCTCTATTTTGGACAGATTGTAAATTTAATAAATATGACCCTTTTCAACTTTTTATGTGCACTATGCTGTAGATTAATCTAGATACCAACCATAGTTGGCATTCTGATTGCTTTTTATCCTCTACAACTGTTATTATAATTACATATATATCAGTCTAATCTTCCTGATAGTATAATGTATTAACTTGCTAGATTTGCCGAAATTATAAGATTGAACATGTACTTTACTCTAGAGTAATTGTACTTTTAATACAGCAGCCTGGCCAACTATTTAATGCGCACCATATAGTACATTAGTCTATATTACCAATAATATTCAGCATTTCTGACTGCCCTATCTATATTAGCTGTTATTATAATTGTATGTTATTTTATGCAAACCTTATTGCTCTATTTGGAAGCTCTTACATCTAAATTTGTCGCTCTAATGAGATCAATGACCTTTGCCTTATCTTGCTAATGTGCGTGCTCATAACAAGTCAATTGGCAGCTTCTGCAGAACTGGACATGTTTAGATCATCTTAAAGTCTCACCTTGGAACATCTAGTGAATGCCTTTATGGCGCAATTATGCTAGAATCTAGCTTAGTTTTTAAATTAAATGTATGTGTTTCACTAAGTGCTCTTCAGATCCATGATGAAGATAACCTTTGATGAGAAAGTAGTACCTCTGGGGTTTACAATCTACTGCTAAAAGAGAAAACACACCAGTCTCCTACTATGGAAAAAATTTACTAAAAGTAGAAAGTAAAAAAGAATTACCCTTGAAAAATTCCCTATGATTGAGAAGACAAAGGGGTCTAATTTAAATTAAATTTGGATTCGTTTCCTATAATCCTGATGGACTCCTTTATTACGAAACTAGGAAAATGTTAAAAAAACAATGATCTTAAAAAGGAATTTCTCGAATTTGAGTGTCGGCGCATTGCAAACTGAACATCGGTCGGTTTGGTTGACTTTTCTTGGCCAAAAACACGATTTTCATATATTATATGTTTGAAAATGGGGGATTGGGAGATATGCCTCCTTTTCTGTGGGCAAATCAATGACCCTTCCCAAGCACCTGTTTGGACTTCTGGCGGTCCAACCCCTCCATGAACTCGCCCGTCCCAAATTCTACAGCATATTGGTAATGGGAAAGAACGTCTGCCATTGTAATTGGAAGAATCTTGTCTCTACTCATTACTTGCTAAATTGCTGTTCTGTCATGTATTTATTTATGAATATCACCATTATATCCGAAGATACTAGATAACGTATATGCCGGAACTTAATGGCATGGACTTCATGTTTAATCTTGTTTGTATGGGTAAGTTTCACAAAACTGCATTTCTAATCTTATGTGGTTTTTCTCATGTTTGTTTTGTGTCTGCATGTATATCTGCATGTATATGCACATGTATATCAATGAATACGAGTTTTCTTTACAGAGTCATAGTTGAATTTGTATTCATCTGCATATATATGCACATGTATATCAATGAATACGAGTTTTCTTTACAGAGTCATAGTTGAATTGGTATTCATATCTGTGATTATGATTGCTAAACGAATATGGATATGGTAAGTATCATATCCAAGTCATACACAATTCGTTTCAACCTAGTCACAAGAAACCAGTAGACTAATTTTATTCAATGAAAAATGTTGCAATCTATAGAGAAGTTACCATATAATATCAGAAATTAGCCTTACATTATTCGTGGTGTTAAGAAGTCTAAATAACCCCTAATAGTTAAGAAGGGAGAGATGATAAGAAAGTACTTATATAAAGTAAACTATTTTTCTCCCTGTGCAACGCACAAGAATTCAAAGATACAGCTGGGTGGTCAATGTGTCTGAGAAACAGAGATAGCTCAATTAGGAAACAAGAGAAGGGGAAAGAGAAGGTGAGGTGACAATTAATGGGATGATTATTGGGTTTTAGTACGATCGATAAAATAGTTGCCACTTGTTAATCCTGAAAACAACACCAATTTGTTTAGTATATATAGTAAAATGTTTAAACCGTGCATATAACGTGCGACTTACACTTAATGACTCTTAATCATGGTAGTTTAATGAAGAATGTTTGTGCAATACTCCTAATAGTTTGTTGTAATTTTTTTTCAATTCACTCATTTTAACTACGATGCCGTGTAAACCTAATGTATTTTTTGTCTTCTTTTTTCTAGCTTTACAAGACTAGAGAGGACAAGTATTTGCTCGATCTGCAGAGGGTTAATGGGCCACAACTCCTCTTTCTTGACCTCTGTGCTGCTTTCCTTGCTCAACTGAGGGTGCTATGATGATATGAGTTACAGGAGCTGCCATAGCAACTGCGCAAGCTAAATACATAAATTTGGATCTACATCCAATAATGTAAATACGAAAAAAAAGGCGCAGTTTTAATTGCCATGTCCTTTTCTTTCGATGACTATAAAAGATCTGTTGCTGATCAATTAGCTGAAGGCAAATTTAATCCTAGCACCTTTGTAAACTTTTTTTTTATCATCTTACTGCTAGGTCAGTGAACTCGCGTCCATTTTCGGAGGATCAGAAAGAAACCGAGCCATATGAGGGCAGCAGTAAATACGAAGTTTTTAATTGTATGATTCGTTTCGATTTATAGGCAAGCTTCAGCTATTACGTAAGGTACTGATGTTCGAGAATGTACTTAGATTGTCTTGTTCTTGTTTCGTGTGTTGGCTGAAGCGCTGGGGAGTTGGAGGAAATTTTTTGTGGCACTATAAGTTGGTCGTAGGTTATGGTAAATTTGATGGCAAATGTACTTTGCAACTTGACAATGCTTGGATGGTGTATAATCATCGTTCCTTTAGGGGTGGGTATGGCCTGTCCGGTTCAAACCTGTGATGTGGCTTGCTGGGCTCAAGGTCGGGCCGGGTTTAGTCCGGACCTGTGCAGATTAGAGTGGGCTAGGCCCGGGCCAAAGGCCATGGGTTTTGGGTCGACGTTTTTTGACTTTTTCTTTTAATTTTTTCATATTTGTAAAATTATATTTAATTTATTCTTTTTCCTATATCAAACTCTTTATTTAAAATAATACACACATAGAAAAACATTGCAAAGACAAAGATTTATGCTAATTGGACTTCTAAGGAATACTCGACTGTTTGAGGCTCGCTTATTTTTTGCTAAACAAATTAAATATTTATAATTAAACTCTAGTTGAACCTACTTCTTTGGTCCCGGATTTGGATCAAAGCCTAGCCCCGCCCAATCAAAACCCAGCTCCGCCCATGAATCGCCTCCAATATGGGCCGGGGTGTGCCCGACACAGTGTGGATCGGGCTGGGTTTAGACCTAAACCGAGCTGGGTTGATTTCGCCTGCGTTTCGAACCGACTCATACCTAACCCTGCCTCCCTTAAGGTGCTTCTTCAAAGATATTTGGATTCAACCCTAACTTTTTTGTAAGCACATTCTTATTTTATCTTCGAGGTAGTATGTTCTCATTTCTGATGCAATGTTACTAAAACAGTTGCACAGTACAATTTATTTCCTTCTCCCCTTGTTAAGATGTGCATTATTGAATTCAGGGCACCAAAAGGAGAAAGAAAAAAGGGAAAAACTTAGGAATTCACCCAAATAGGGAGTCACTGCCGTGAATTTTGGAAGTCGAAGATTCATGTCTAGCACTTCTTTTGTTTAAAGGGTAAATTGCACCTAGATCTCCTTTAATATTGTGTTTTGAATTTAGGGAAAAATGTTTCAAGGCCCCAAAATGGAGAATTTGATGTGGCCCAGCCCCACCAATTATTTCCATTAGGCTTTAGCCCCAAAAAAGTGTAAAATTTGTGGCCCAGCCCCAAAAGCCCACATTTATACGTATATTATGTGTATTTTGACAAAACTACCCTAAATGCCCTCTTGTCCACTTAAACTCTGAAGTCTGAGCGCTCCTCGCCTTCTACTCGGGTCTTCGCCCTCAATCTCTCTCTGGATCCCAAATCAAATTGAAAAGATGGTAACTTTCTTATTCTCTTTTCCTGTTTTTCATCAAATTAGGGTTTCTTTCCTCGACCCCAAACCTCCATCAACCTCTCAAAGTTCTAAATTGTTCATACTGCAGCTGTTCTGCTCGTACTTCAAGGAGTTGGAGGGTAAGGAAGTGACGGTGGATCTCAAGAATGATCTAGCAATCAGAGGGATCCTTCACTCCGTCGATCAATACCTCAACATCAAGCTCGAAAACACTAGGGTCGTCGATCAGGACAAGTATCCTCACATGGTTCGTTCTCTTTTCCTCCTCCCCTTAATTTGATTTTCTAGGGTTTTGTTCTTTGCCTGTTAATTTGAGGGTTTTTTTCTAGATGGAAGAGGATGAGTTAGTGTAATACTCTAACCAGAAATGGGGAATTTTCAATGGGTACATTGGAACTGAATTGGGGGTTTAGGGTTTTGGATTATTAGGGTTTATGAAGCAGGACAAGTATCCTCACATGGTTCGTTCTCTTTTCCTCCTCCCCTTAATTTGATTTTCTAGGGTTTTGCTCTTTGCCTGTTAATTTGAGGTTTTTTTTCTAGATGGAAGAGGATGAGTTAGTGTAATACTCTAACCAGAAACAGGGAATTTTCAATGGGTACATTGGAACTGAATTGGGGGTTTAGGGTTTTGGATTATTAGGGTTTATGAAGATTTAGTTGCTTGTTTTAGGGAGTTTTAAGGAGTAGTATTGTTTGAATTCACTCAGTTTCAACGGGGTCAGACAGTAGATAAGTTATTTTTATCATTTTGGATTGAGTAGTGTGAGACTTGGCTGCAGTTCTTGGTAATGGGTTTATACCAGGTTATGTCCACCTTTTTTCTTGATAACGTTTCACTTGTCATAAAATATAGGGATTGAATTTTAGTATGATGTTATGAATATTGTAAAAGCATTTGTAAAAGGCAAGTTTGTGATTTTTTAAATTCATTGAGATATCATGGGCTAGTGGTAGCTTAGTAGCTTACACATAAATGGTCAAACAATGCATTCATAATATTGTAGACATGATAGTTGAGTTTAACAATATAAATTAGTGAAGTGATTTTAACAATATTGCCTTACATTGTAAGATTATTTATACTGTAAAAAAGCCTTTGTAACATGATGGGCTCGTGGTAGCTTAGCTCAAGTGTAAGCCGTCAAAAAATGCCCTTATAACAATTTATACATCACAATAGAGTTTAACAATATAAATCAACAAGGAAAAGTTCAATCATCACTATAAAATATAAATACAATGAATCTTGAAAAGTGCTTAATACCAGTTTCGAGAGATTTTGAGTTTGACCTAAACAACTTCTCCTTATAGGGTTTTGCTTGTGGCTTTTAGGGAAACTTAGTTATGTAACAGTTGTTTTTACTGGAATGTAAACTTAGTTATGTAACAGTTGTTTTTACTGGAATGTTAGTATTTCACCAATTTAATCTTTTTTTTATTTTATACAACATCATATATCTAACTAGCTTGCTATTTTATATCATGCAGTTTTGATTGTGGAATTTTCGCTCCGTTATATATGAAGGCTATAATACATGGGGTTGATACAAATCAAATAACTACTTCCGATACTGAGTCTGATGTCATCCATGTCAGGCTAGTAGCTGAACTTCAATAGAAGGATGGCAACAGAAGAATCAAGCAGAGACATTTGATAAGGATGAGAGAAAGTTGTTCTGAAATTGATTGGCTGAACCAAAACTTGTGTGCATGTCTGTATTATGTATATTAGTTTAGTTGTATAAACAGTTGATGTGGATGACAAACAATACAACAAGCTTGACCTTTATTATTCTTATTGTATTTTCTGGTATTTTTGCCACCATATGTTTACGTTTTGTTTGGATATAACATATATTTAACAGGTTCAAATAAAAAACTACATGTTTACTTGAATGTGAACAGTAAAAGTCAATACTTAACATGTACATTTGACAAGTTAACATATTCAGTTGCATGTTATCATGTTATAAAGAAGGCTAACATATAATAGTAAAAGTTAACATATTATGTTGAAAGTTAACATGTTCATAAGAAAGTTAACATATGTAGATGA